AATTTTAAATTAAAATTTACTTGAGCTGGTGTAAAACGAATTAAACGAAGTACATCTGGTGTTAATTTTAAAAGATTCATTAAAGTTTCTGATTTAATAAATTTTTTTGCATAATCTGATTCTAATAATTGACGATATTTTGCAAGATTTGGTTCAGTTGCATACTTAAATAAGAAAATATCAAAGATAAAAATAAGAAATTTTTTTCAATCTAATATATTCATATTTTATTTTTTCTTTACTTGATCAATAAGAAGACGAATTTTACTTGGTACAAGTTTTCGAATAAATGATGGTGATGTATTATTAAATAATGGTGGTAAATCACCACGACCACGTGTTAATATTTGTTTAAGTATAGTATTATCAATACCAGGTATTAAATTACCTAATTTACCAAGTATACCTTTACCCCAAAGATTTTGAGTTGATCGTGGAATTTTATTTATAATTGTTCTTGCCTAAAAATTAATGAAAATTTTCTTAATAAAATAAAAAATATATATGAAATTTTACTTCATTTGGTGTAAGATCTTGGGCACCAATTTTTTCTAAAGTTTTTTCATCACGACCCAATTCAGCCATAAGTTCATCACTTAAATCACTTATTTCATCAGGTCGATAAATTGAACCAAATGCATCTATATAAGAAACAAAAAAAAACATGACTTTTTAATTTGATCTTTTTTGTTTTTACATTTAAATTTTACCTGATACGTCACGTAATTTATTTACTGTAACACCACGTTCAAGACCATATTCTTTTTTAACTTCATTAGTTAAACGTTCACAACTCTTTTTGTTTTAAATAAAATCATAGATATGCATTGAATTTTATTGTGATTATCTTTTTTTTTTTCTTACTTCTGGATTTGGATGACTTTTTAATAATTCTTTTAAATCTTGACGATTACTAAATAAATCACTTAAGTCACAACCACTATAACATTCTTGCCATCGTTGAACCAATCTTTAAAAAGAAAAAATTAAACATTGGAAAAAAACCAGTTTTCTTATTTAAATAATCATCTTATTTTGATTTCTTCTTACGGTAGATTTGGTCTCAAATCACGATTAGTAGTTCGTTTTGCTTCTAATGTTCGATTAATTAATGCAAGAGCTGTTGTACATGATTGATCTTCTCGAAGACTTGAACGTTCAAGTAAAGGACTCTTTAGATAGAAAAACACAAAAAAACAAACAAACAAACAATTATTGAAATAAATCAATGAAGAATATTTTACAATTTTATCTCCAACAGCATTAATAATTTGTCTTGTAGATAAACTTGGCATCATACGTGCAATCATATCCAATGTACTTGGCTCTTCAGCTGTTAAACGTAGTGGACTATTGCTTTGTACTATTTTACCTGCTGTATCTGTTAATGATCGATAGACTTTATTTGAGATAGCATCACGTTGTAATGGACTAAGTAAATTGAGAAATGTTGCACTGAAATACAAACAAAAAAAAAAAGAATTTTTTTTTTTAATGAAAAATTAGATTTTGTTTTTATCTAAATAATACAAACACATTACGAATAACACTATTGTCATTAAAAATTGGATTTTTAAGAAGAAAATCTAATGGAAGATAACGAAGAAATGATGCACCTAATTTTTGTGTTATTAATTGTTGAAAATTATTTGGATTAAGTTTATTTTTAATTTTATCAATATAATTTTGAACAAGAATAGATTTTTGTCCATCACTAAAATCCTAGAATAATCAAATAATAATAATAATAATACAAGAAAATTTATATTTTTTATTTTAAAATTTTTACTAGTCGATTTGAATTAACATCGAGTACTTTTGAAACTGTTTCTTCATCTGAATATGATAAAAGATTATTTAAATTTGCATCAGCTAAATTTTGAGCTGGAACTAGACGTAATTCTTGTGATAAATCAATTAATTTTAATATTGATTTCCATACTGAATCCTGTCATTAAAAAGAAAGAAAAAAAAAGACATATTACGTAATCCTGTTTTTCTTTCTTCTATTCAAAATCTGTACGATAATTGAAATCATTATGAACAAAATTCACACACGATAAAGGTATTTTCTAAGTGAAGCATGTTTTTTGAAGAATAGAAAAAAAGAAAGAAAGTGAGAATTAGTTTTTGAAAGTAAATTTTAACTGAACAGTTGTATTAGCAATAATTCGATTTTGCTTCATTTCCTGATCAGCAACTTCCGAAATTTTTCTATAAAGCTCGTTATACATCTCAGTAAGAAGCGCAGGGCATTATGCTAAAAATAGTTACGTAGATAAAAATGTAGGTGAGAGCAACACTTGAGGGCGGAAGATCGCATGAAGATGCAGACTGACACTTCAAAATAATATTTTTCTTTTGATAAAGTTTAAATTTATAATATGCTGTCAATAGGTTAATCTAGATAAATCCCATAAATCACGATAGACTCTCATCTTGCAATAATCAGAGATATCTGGAGAAGGGTAAGGAATGATTTATATACAATTTTGAAAAAGTTTTTTGTGTTTAGTGAAGTTTCAGCATTTTATTGTTTACTAAAATAACTACCCCACCCTTTCCCTCCCCTCAAAATCTGGTTAACTTTGCAAAATAAATTTCCAATTATCCTCTTGAGTCATCGACATCCTCTTACCAATCTTGGAGACCTTGAAATACTCTTGGAAATGATCAAACTTTTCTTTGATTTACTCTACATAAAACTTTTAGTGGCTTCATATTCAAATTTAATTTGATATTGTATAAAGAAAGTTGAAGATCAACCATCATGGTCATTAGTATAACATTGACATTATCAATTCTATGATGTCAAGTGTTAATATATTCTTCAGAGGTCAATATCATCATCTGCACAAAGATAGATTATACACTATCCTTGAAAAGTCTAGAATTCATATATTTTATTTAACCTTGAATTAATAAGACAAGAATAACTTATACTCTCCTATGAATTAAATAAATAAAACTATCTATTATAATCACGATTACAATACTCCTTACATAAATTTATAATATTTCTTAAAGACATACATAACATTTCCGTTTTTCTTTTTTAGTTTTTTTTAATAATCGAAAGTATGTCGATGAGAAGCTCTAGAGACCCAAGTGTTTATCCTTGGAAAAAAAAATATTTCATGTAAAAATCATCTAGTCAAAGAAAAAAAAATATAGTAAATTAATGTATCATCAATTTATAAATAGATGGCTGATTTTTATCATTCAAAAATATGAAGAAAATAATGTGCAATGAACCGATTCAAAAGAAAAAATAACTCAAAAGAAAGAACAAATCATCTATATAAAATGAAAAGAGAGAAAAAAAATCATCAATAAACAATAAATAGATCAAACCTTCACATAACGATATATTGGTTGTATTGCAGGAAATATAGCTCGAGCACTATTAGCATCAAGTGGTGTATCTCGTTTAATAGTTTCGGGAACTAATCGAATTGCTTCTTTAAATTTAGAAAAAACTCTATAAAAAGAAAAACAAAAAATATGTAAACATATAAATAACATATATCAACTAACTTCTCAACATTTTCATATGCAGGTACTAAAAAAAACAAAAAACAACAAATTCAAATGTTACGTAAACTTTTATCAAAATGAGTTTTGATTTAATAATCAATGATCTAATGAATATTTTCTTTTTTTATCGATCATGATCTCTGTCTCGTTATTTTTGATACTTACTATTTATATCAAGAAAATTTGGTAAACGTTGTTCAATTTGTTTTAAAATAGTTTGATCTTGTGGAGTCTTAATTGCTTTAGAAAATATATTTTGAAAATTGATCTCATCGGCATGACCTAGAAATTAATAATCAAAAAGAAAATTTATGTCATCGATCTACATTTTCTTTTTATAGATCTCATGTAAATAAGATAAGTTATGATGATAGATAATTGGCAAGTGTTAGATATTTTCTCTGACAAGATCATGGTCATGATATAAAATTTCTTTAACTTTAAAACAAAACAAATAAAAAAAAAAAACTTACTAAAATGTGCTAATATACCAATAATTAAGGCTGTAATAAATAGCCACAAACGTTTCATCGTTTGTTTTGTAGTTTTTTATTTCTGTTAATGTGTATTGATGTGAAAAGAACAAGAAAAATAAGAAATGTAATAAATACAGTATGTAAGAAAAAATATATGTATTTGTATCCTTCGCTCAACTGAGTTATAAACGCTAAGATATCGGTTGAGAACACAGAGAGACGAACAAACGACACAGAGGCAAAAAAAAGTTAATAGATTTGTTGTTATTCTTTTTTTTTTCTACTATTTGTGGTTTATTCATCGGAGTCGATGAGGAGAGAGACAGAGAGAGGGAGACAGAGAGAGGGAGAGAGAGAGAGAGAGAGGGAAAGACGACAAACATTACGTCTCTCTATGTCAGCTCTCTCATAAATGTAGCTCGCTTTCTTCCTTCCTCTCATTATCGTTTTTTTTCGCTTTTAGATATATTCTGTACCTATTCTTACTAGAGACGGAGACGAAGAGAAGAGAAAAAACGGTGACAACATTTACTTCTTGAGTAATAGACGTTAAAGTAACGTAAATATCACTTGTCGACGTAGCTAGTAGGCGTTTTTCGATCCCGATCGTTATATTATTCGCAGAATAGAATATTGTTTGAGAAAGAGAAACTCTACTTATCATACCATTAGAAAAAAAAGTAAGAATAGTTACAACACTTCAATCAATTTGTCTTTCCTTTGTTTGTATATGTACATGATCATTTAGCCTGTCGGTATGCGTAAGTGAGAAGATATATGTATAAACTATCTCGCATCTATCACGTAGATGCTTTCGATCCATCACGCTTTTTCTTTTACTTGGCAATGCATAAACTAATGAAGCATGTTCAAGAGGATCAACAGAGAGTCAATAAAATGTCTTCTTAAGATTTAATGTATGAAAGAACATTTATTTTTGAATCAAGTGAAAAAGAAAGTGACAAAAAGAAAAATAATTATCAGTCGTTAAACAAGATGATGATTGACATTGCGATATTTTAATAAATGATCATAATTCCATTCATCTAAAGTATAATTCATATATCATAATACGTCATATATAATGATAGAATGTTTTATTACCATAAGCACGACAACTTCCCATATCATATTCATCACATGATACACGTGCTTGACCTGGTTTACGTTCTGGTTCATCGGGTTCTGGTGGACGTTTGCCAAGTGAATAGAAATTTTCATAATAATACCTTTGTAGAGAAAAAAAGAAACACTTAATAAATATTCAGTTGATAAATCTTAAAATTTACCATCGTTGTAGAACAAATTTTCCTTCTTCATCTTCAACAATATTTGCTGAATGAATACTTTGTTCTTCACATTTTCCATCTTCATTCATATTATTCCATACAATAGCACGACCTTCTTTTGGCGTAATTTTTATTTCTAATTCTTAAAAAAATAAAATTTTTTTTTTTATTTTCTTAATTTGTAAGAAAAAAAAACAAAAAAATTTCACCTGGAAATTCTGTTTCACCACCTTTCATTACTGTATTTAAATAAGCTAAAAATGTAGCATAACGATCTTGTTTTAATCCATTTACAGTACAATCATGATGAGCTTTATAACCTAAACAAAAAACGAAAATTTAATTGAAAATATTTTTCGATATATTTTACTTACCAACACCTTTTTCTGTTGATGTTATTTGAAATTTTCCACCATGACTTGATTGTAATGCAGTTCCATCTTCAATACGTTGTGATAATGTTGTTGAAAATGCACTTTCACCAAGATAAAATGCTGTTGAATACGACCATTTTAAACCCCATTGTTTAAGCATTGATGAAAATGTTGCATTAATACATGTTGTTCCTAGAAATAGATAATAATTTCGAATAAAAAAAAACAAAAAGAAGAAAAGTAAACATTTTTTGTTCATTTTTACCTTTAGTAAAATCATTTGGTGTAACATGAAATTCATTAAGTGGTTTCAAATCTTTTAAATGTTTACGTAATGTTTGAATACTATCAAAACATATAATTGGATCAATTTCTTTCATTTTTTTAACATGTTCCTTGTGAACTTTAATTAAATTTATACATTCATCATGTGAAAGAAATTCTTCAAATAACCAATGTCTAAAAACCAAAAAAATTGAGATTAAATAGGAAAAAAAAAAGAATATTGATCTAATAATAAAGAATCATAAGCATAGCAACATTGATATGAAAATTTCAATTAGATATTTTTTTTTCTTTTTTTACTTGATACTACTATTATGCTCTTTGCCAGCACGAATAGAAATCGGTGGTACACGACGATGACCACCATTAGAGTTTGGAATAGGTATCCATAATTTTTTTGTTTTTATCATGTCTTACAAAGTAAAAACAAAAAAGGTGAAGGATTGAAATCATATTTCTTTATCTCTAAATAAAATGTTAATATATCAATAAAACATACTTATTCTTGATGATTTGAAATTTTTAACTTCATCTGGTATTTCTTTATTTCGGCCGGTTACATCAATTATATCCGGTTGTTGATTTGTTTTTTTTAATTTAACCGGTTGTGATATTTGTTCTGATTTGTCAACTTTTTTTGTATTACTTGTTTTTGATTGTTTAGGTTTTTCCTTAACAATAGATTTTGCTGTTGTTGTTGTTGTTGTTGATTCAGGAAACTTTATAGTTATTGGTTCATCTTTCAATAATATAGGTTCCTCATCAACAGTTAAATCATTCTTTTCTATTGTTGATTTGGTAGTAGAAATCGTTGTAGTTTCTGGTTTTTTGGTAGTTGCAACAATTGGTGTACTAGTGGTTGTCAATACTTGTTCAGAAGCCTTCACAATAGATGATTCTTGATAAGCTATTGGTATAGTCGGTACACCAAGATGCGAATATAATACGAGAATTAATGGTTGAAGAGATACAGCGACAATGCCACCAACAATTGCTACAAGTAATAAAGTCAATGTGCTTGTGCCTTGTTGCACATTTTCTGATTTTTCTTTTGGCATTTTATCTGAAGAAAGAATAAACACCATATGTGTATATCTATATATATATTTTTTTTTTTTCTAATAAATCTTGAAGATCTATATTCAAAGACAAAATATCAAACTAAATAATTAAATTTTTTTCTCATCACCTATTTTGTTTTACTACCAAAAACTTTCGTAAAAAAATCTTGAATAGGTCCAAAAAATTTATGACGCTTTTGTGATTCTTTATTAGATAAGAATTGTTTTTCAAGTGTATCTAAACGATATTGAAGATTATTTTTCCAATAATAATTTTGACCAAGAAATATCATTGATGTTAAAAATCCATTTATTAATGGATAAGCAAAAAAATGACGACGTGACATTCCTTTAAAAGCATGTTTACGAAAAAAACGTATCCATTCTGGATATGCTTGAATTTGAAATTGTGGTAAACGTATAGTTTTATTTAAAAGACATGTTGAAAGATTAGCTGTTAATGCTAAACTTGTTCCCATTGTTATAGGTAGAAAACTTCCCAAAACAAATGAACGTATTTCAAGACAAGTTGTACATAACATTGGATCATTAGAAAACAATGGTCGAAGTACAAGAAAATAATAACTTGATAAATGTGTTAGAGTAACAACAAGAAAACAAGTGGCACTTGCCGGAAGTGTACTTGAAGATAAATGAAGTAATAAATTTCGTGCCATACGACGCGTTATCATACCTCCTAGATATAAATTAAAAAGAAAAATATTTCTCTATGATAGATAATGTTTCATAATCAATGAATGACTATAAATAAACATAAAAATTATTGCATAAGAAAAAATATCTTCCGGACAATATTTCTTTTTTTTTTTTTTTTTCTTCGTTCCTTTTTTTTTTGTATCGATATTATCAAAATAAAGATTAACACAATATTATTCCTATCATTAATTACATGCTTTACTTATTCGCTTGTAGTACAAACTCTTGTATATCTTATCATGTCCTCTTCTTCTATTCAAATCTTTTTTTCTTTTCGCTCTTTTTCTTTATCTATATATCTGATGTAATACATATATCAATATGCAAACTTAAATTCTGATGAATGTCACATTCAAAGTGCAAATAGAAAATAAAATGGATTTCAAGTTTAAAGGTTAAGATATAAAAGATAGATGGTTTACATTTATGTAATATGAAATTTAGTAGATTAATTTACTGAATAAGAAGTCTTTTTTCGAAAATTTTTTAAATATATATCATCATTTGATAGCTGATACAGTCATTACGAATTGAGAAAGTACTAAGATCAAAATTCATATGAAAAAATATTCAAATATGATTTAATTTAATTGTAACTAATCTTGATTGATTTATAAGTATACGATTGAATACTAATGTAGTTCATGTTAATTGTAAATAGAAAATTTTAAGCTTTAAAAAATACGATTTTCACATTTAAAAAGAATATTTTACGTTTGCACACTAATCTAAATATTTATATATTTTGCATATTCTCACTGCGATGCATCGTTGTTCGTACTTTGCAAAAGTATGGAGGATCTTGAAAGCAAAAAATGATTCATCAAATTATGAAGACTTCTGATCTTCTATTTGGTTGATTCACTTTCAGAACTACAAGCTTTACGAAGAAGTTAAAAATATCCTATCTGATGATCTGGCAAGGGTTTTTTAAACGATGAAACCTTTTTTGAGTTGAAAACCAGCTGCAAAGTTCTTATTGGGATACCAAAAAAAATGCAGAATTTCATTTTCTACAAGACTACATGATTGGTGAACCACAGTGCGATATTTTCAAAAAATTCATGAAAAACCAAGTAGGCTTCAAAATAAATACAAAGTTTTGTTTTTAGTTCCACAGCAAGGATATAAAGTGCATCAGTTGCTTCGAAGTTAAAAAACGTATTTGTAACAGCTTGAAATCCTCCATTATTTGGATATATATATTAGTGAATATTGTATATGATAGTAAATAATTGAAAAATTGTATTTACAAGTAGTTTGATACACTCTGATCAATTCATTCGCTAGCTCGTCGTGTCCTTCTACGAGAATATAGAAATATATATAGGGCATGAATATTTCTCTAAGAGACATCTTTAAAGTTCCAACGAACTCTGCAACTATGCTGTCACTTGTAGGCTATGTTTTTTGTGTAAGCTATCTAACGAACTAAATGAAAAATATGCCGTCAAATCATGAAAAATCATGGTACAACACAGAATTGACTCTAAAGAAATGGAAGAAAAATCTGCTTTTGATTGATATTTCATCTGTTTCACACATTCATATTTATATTATTATAAATAAAACTAAATAAAGATGTAGAAAAATCAAGTCAATGTAGTTTTGGTTTTTTACACTATAAATTAAATTTTTTTCATGACTATTATAGTATTTGACACACGTCAAAATAAATATCTGTAAGTATAAAAAGCTATTAGCATAATTTCAACAGACATTAAATTTTAAAGCACGCTTGAGTTTCTATTATTAAAAACGGAAAACATCATCAACATATGTGTAGATTTATGAATTACCTCCTACTGTCAATAGTGAAAGATGTTAGCTGTAATACATTTTAATCAGTTTGAAAGAAAGGCAAAAAACAACTCACTGAAATTCCCTTGTATTTCAGGCTAATTCTATATTTAAGTACTCTTGTCGGATATGCTTATCCTGCTTCATGAGGAGAAAATTATCATACAGTAAGATATTTGTCACAGTATAGGACGGAAGAGAGGCGTTTTTAAGAGACATTCTCCAGTTCCATGATGACTAGCAGGAAGAAGGGATATTACTGAAGTGATTCGTGATGTGTCTATTATACATATAAGGAGAATGTCAGAGTAGACAGCCGAATAACAAAATCCTTTTTAGCTTGAGCTCTAATTTTCTCCATAGCATGACACGCAATCAAGCTGAATAATATCTCATATGAAAGCACATAAAAAAAAGACTACAAACAGAATATTTACTTTCTAGAAAAAACGCTTTTGTTATTAAAGCGTTTTATTGCAAACCCTGGATATTTCTTTTTTTTTGTATAGATCGTGTTTCAAACCAAAGGATCAATCATCTGCGAAAACATTTTAAAATGTATAGAATATGCGAACTTTCTAAAATAGTCTTCATTTTTCTGAGAGAATACATGATGACTATGAAGTTAATTCATTAGTAATAATCGCTGTTACTTGATATTTTTTTTCTGACTAACCTAAGATTCCACTCGAAACTGATGCAACACCATTGCCCATAGTTATTGGCCAATTTTCATTTAAAGGTAATGCTTGAATTGTATTTAAACGTCTCCAACCAATCGTATAATATTCTTTTTGATCTAGTAAAATTTGCTCATATGAATGATCTTGAGTATTATTATCATGTTGATAAACAAATTCATTAATATTTTGATGTGGTCGAATAATTTGTACACGTTTTGGTTCATTCATTTTATTAAATAACAAAAAAATAACGAACAAAAACAAACAAATCAAATAAATAAAAAAAATCTAAAATAGAATTTAATCATCATTTTTATTTTCATCGAAATTTTCTTTTGTTAAAAAACTTTGTTTTTCTTTTAATAATTTTTCAATTTGATTTTTTAATTGTAAAATATTTTTTTGTCTTATACAAGCTTCTAATGCTAAATCAATTGTTTGTTGAAAAGATTTTTGACTTTGTTTTAATACATTTGGACTTAATAAACCAAACCATTTTAATGCATCATCACAATGTTCTTTATTAATTTGTTTTTCAATATTAAATGGTGATGATGTTATAAATATTTTTGTTGAAGCTATCATTGGATCTTTTTCCGAATATTGTAAACTTGAAAGATTATTAACACCCATTATAACACGTGCACGTGAAAGATTAAAATATCCTTGTTTTACTGTATCATCAATTAATTGTTTACATGCAAGTAAATGACCAAATTCTTCAAGATAATCAATTGTTAATTTATCTATTTGTTTGCAAAGAGAATCCATTTGAAATAAGAGTGTTAGTTGTGAGAAGTTGTTTTTATTTGTTTATAAAAATAGCCAATCATATATCGTCATTTGGTTCTTCGTTTTTTTTTGCTTAGCTTTTTTGTATTTATCATTAGGATGTATAAAAAAAACGAAATAAAATGTCTCGGGAAATATATTCTCCTATCTGTACTATGATTGATAATTTCTAGAAATGAAAAACAAGGATGAACAAGCAATTGATTGTTATTTTAGCATCTAATAAAAATACAGCTAGTGTAAGTCATTCATATCTATTAATTAAATCATTTATTTACTAAGGCAAGATAATTTTCTTACATGTTTTTAGACGATATTAATATAAGAATGAGTCTTTTTTATTTGCTTCATATGTCTAAAATTATTGAGATTTTGTTTATAGAGAGTTGTTTAGAAGAATTTAATAAAAAAAAAACTTTCATATGCATAATTTTTCTTTTTTCAACAATGTAAAAGAAAAGCGATTTCTTTTTTTTATTGAATAATTATTTGCATTTTTATTCATAGTCCATGAAGGAGATTAGTATTGGATAATAGATTTTCTATGACTTATTATTTGGAGATTTGATGAAGAATAATTGAATGACTCGTCAAAATGATATGCACTAAATATATATATTCTGAATTATAATTTAAAATTATATATGTAGACGTATAATGATAAATTGTTTTAATTTCGTAAGAACAATTATTCAGAATTATTCTTACTATTTGAAAAAGAATCATTTAATTGAAGAAGAAATTAAAAATAGAATTTCATTAGAAGGTATAGTTAGTATCAAAGAATTTATATTACTAATTGTTTTTGATGTTTGGTTTTAGTTTATTCGAGGGATCTTGATGTGAGCATTAATGCTAATGCTTCTTTTTCTTTTTTCTTTTCATCATTGTTGCATGACAATTAGAAATAGTGCAGTGACTCTTCATATAGGTGTGAAATTTATCATTTAATATTTTCTTTTTTATTACTTTTTGTTTTTCATCATCGACATGTTCTCATTCATC